ACAGATCTAAAAAGAGACCTTTTAGCCAAGGTTTCAGTTTAAAGCCGTGAATGTGACTGAGTGCAGCAAAAAATAATTTCATACTGCAACTTTCCTGCGCAAGAGTTTGAGTGCATGGTATGCTGTCCAATCGGTAATGTGACAAGTTGTGTGTTGTGCATGGTTATCATCTAAATATCATAAATATTATTGTGGAAACAAATTATGAAGCATATTATAAAATGAAGTTGCAAAATTTGTGAGGCACTTTCATCGATTTAAAAGTCCTACTGGTCTCCTATATTTTTTTATGATGTCCTCCCCAATATTTGGGTGACCCTATTCGGCGGAATGGCGGAATACATACAATCAGTTCTAAAATACGGAATATACGTAATACTCTAAAACACGGAATTTACAGAATATTCTGTATTTGATTTGAACTGGACTGACGAAAAAGCAGAGGCAATATTAAAAATTCAATTTTCGTACTGCCGTAAGCCACACTATAGACCTTATGACAGTTTTGAAAGCCATCTTGACGGGTGAAGGGTCCGGTATCACGGGAATCTAATGTCGGATAACTTTCATAAAACGGCTGTTCTAAAAAAAAGAATAGTAAACTTAAGCTTGACAGGATTGTACTACCAATTAATGGGGGCCGCACCTGTGCCTAAATTTGTCCGATCGCTTGCTTTAGATTTTCCAGAGTCTTCAAAGTCTTCAAAGGAATGATCTCTTCTTCAAACTTTGTGGAGATTGCTCGGCTGTTCGTTCTGGCGAGGAAGGATCCAGGGACAACAAGTCCGTTTTCCAGTCTCCTTGATCCATTACCTCAATCGACTTGCACTTTGTTTTGACTGCGAGCTTTTTTAAGAAAGGTGAATATAAGGAAGGAAAGTTCCATCGACAAAGTGCCCAACAAGTTTCAAGGTAAGTCCCTCGCGTTAACTGAGCATTCACCGTCAGTATTTGTTACTGCTACAGTTACAAATGTTGTTCGTTTTTAAATAAATATCAAAGTTCTTTTTTTAACATTTGGCTGTTTCTCAAAAAAGAAATAAGCGCCCTGTCCCGAATAAGCGTCCTCCCTAGAGGCATCAAAAGTAAATAAGCGCCTGGGCGCTAAATCGAATTATTACGGTAAGCCAATTCTTTTACTTGTCACGCGCTTAAAACATGGTTCGAGTTAATGGGGGTAAAATTATATAGAAATGATCTGAAGAGAAACAAAAATTAGTATTACTTCGAGTCAGCACGAGGTTCGAGTCAGTAGCGAGGGTTCGAGTTATTGGAGTCGACTGTATACATGTATACCCTTTTTAAACGATTTTTCTCTTATTCTGCGTTTTAGAGTATTCCGTATATTCCGTATTTTAGAATATTCCCTGTATTCCATCATTCCGTTCCGTCATTCCGTCAGTCCGCCATTCCACCGAATAGCGTCACCCCCGATATTTTCATGTCCAAGAAAATACTAAACGCGAGGCTAATCATTGTGCCAAGAATTGAATCTGTTAGCTACATTTTAAAGCGCCAGATAATAGTCCTTTGAGAAAAAAAAACCGTAATTCTTGGGTGTAATGGACTCAGTTTTTGGGACCAAGTTGTTCTTCGTTCTCGGGAGCAACAGAACTCCAATATCTCTCTCCTTTTTTCCTTGAAGGAAGACATTGGACATTGACATGATTGATTCTAGCCCGAAAAAAAAAAACATGGGATCAGATTTCTTTCAATAGACCGCTGACCAGAAGCGTCGACTCGTGACCCCACAACGATCAGATCACGCTGAGGCCAAAACGGTGCGGCGGTTCGGGAATTTTTTCTTTTTAAGTCACCATCGCTTGTGAAAAAATAACATTACTGTAACATTGTTTCACTAAGTGCTCTCTGGCCGGGAAAAAGTTGTGCATTCGTTTAGATTCCGCCGCAGTTTAGACAAATGACGTCATTGGCCGCTGTCACGCGACGACATTTTCCAGATTCAAGTTTCGTCAGCAGATGGTAATTTCGAGTTCTTTTCTTCTTCTGCCTATTTTTCATCTTCCTTTCTCTTTTAATTCTACGTCCTTCTACTTAGGATGGTATCTGAGCGCCTAGCAAGGATTAAAGTGGCGTTTACCACGCTATCCACGGCCGTATTGGCAACAGAGAAGTGTTTCGCCGAAGTAGCAAGATAACGGTAAACACTGCAACTTTGAACGCTTTGTACAACGTCAATATGCTTTGGCCGAAAAATGTTTTTCCAGAATCGTAATGTATATCCCTCCAATGTCTGATTCATCACTGTGATTGCTTTCAGCAGCGTTGGACTTTTCAGAAATAATTATTTTAAAATCAGCTCCAACGCTCCATCTAATTTAATATGCAATATTTGAAAATTTATTTTTTATTCCCGTCGGCAGTTTTTCGATGTTTATCCAATGATATTGCATTAAAAGGCCTTTTTCTTCATCACTGTGTGGTTTTCTCGCTATTTTGCGTTGCGATAGTGATTTCTGAACCGTTTTTTGCGAGAGCT